AGATTACCATCAAGGCTCCAATAATCATCACGTCCCCATGGCCTTGCACGCTAGAAGGGCAGGCCATCAAGAGGCAAGCCTCACCACTCCGAAGACAGGGCAGGCCACCAGAGAGGGAGGAGCGTCAAGAGGCTGATATCACCACCACATGGGGCATGCCACAGGGTGGGGTGTGCCCCTCATGGTGAGTGATCTCCTATATGTAGGCACAGCCTACATACAGGAAGGAGTACAGGGCGAGATGGAGGGGGGGGGGAGACAGGAGGGGAAAGCATCCTGAAGGAGAGCAGGACAGGCCTGTAGAGGGCAGGGAAAGCCTCAAGAGGCCATTTGGAACCTCCTTGAGAGGTCATTTGGGGCTTCCTAGAAGCTATTTGGAGCCTTCTTGTAGAGAGGCCTGTGGAGAGGCGCTTCCTGGAGCAGAGCAGGGAAGGCCTATGGCGAGGCCTACAGAGAAGGAAGAAAAAAGGAGTAGTTTTCAGCTTTAGAGGTTTGCAGACCAACTAATAAGGGTCAGGGCTTGGAGGTTGGGTGGTTGAGGCTGCTCTTGAGTCTGGGTATCTAGCCCGGGACAAGGTAGTCGAGGCCTCCTTTCTGGTGTAAATAAAAATTTTTTTGTCATCTTTAACAGTGCCTGGATGGATTGTCTCACTCTTTAGAGGTCATAATGTCAGGTATGGTTTTACATGCTTGTTATCGCAGCCTTAGGAGATAAAAAACAAGTTTGAAGCCTGCCCAGGTAAAAGTACTTGAAACCATATTTTAAAAAAAAAAGCCCAGATGCCAGTGGCTTATACCTGTAATCCTAGCTACTCAGGAGGCTGAGATCTGCGGTTTAAGGTTCAAAATCAGCCCAGGCAGGAAAAGTCCATGAAACTCTTTATCTCCAATTAACAACCAGAAAGCTGAAGGTGGCAGTGTGGCTCAAGTGCTAGAGTGCTCGCGCCTTGAGCAAAAAAAATCTCAGGAACAGCCACCAACAGTTCAAGCCCAGGACTGGCACTGGCACGCATGCGCACTCACACACAGGATGTAGCTCAAGTGGTAAAACATTTGCTAAGCATGCAGGAGACACTGGGTTGATCTCTTCTATATCAAGAAAAACGGAGGCCAAAAGAAAAAAAAACAGGTTGAATTTCCTAAGGAAATCGCCTACTTTCTGCAAGTCTGGATGTTTATAAGAGTTAGTTTTTTGGTTCTGAGATAGCTGCAGAGATACATGCCCTTTTTTAAGTACCATCAGTGGTCTGGAGCGCCCCTATAGAGTCCACTATCTTACCCAACTACACTGGAGTTTCAGGGACATCGCAGAGTTGTAAACAGAATATTCCCATCAAGAAGGCTCTCGTGACGACCACGCCATCAGTGGCGACCGACTGCGAACACGAGGGTCGAGCCAAACACAGGTACCTACAGCAGACAACTCAGGGACGGCCCTGAAAACGCGGCTCCACGAAGACCGCAGACTCCGCAAAGCGACTCCAGCTGCGCTTCCGCGGACGTCACAATCCCCGCCCCTTCCTCCGCGGCTGACCAACCGCCGGTCGTGGGCCGGGGAATGCCCGAAGCGGTGGTAGCCAGCGCTCGCCCCCGGCACCCCGGACAGCATGGCAGACCTCCACCGCCAGCTGCAGGACTACCTGGCACAAGGGAAGGCGGGAAAGCCTGCGGATGCGGAGCCGCTGCTCGCCTCCGGGCCGGCAGAAGCGCCCGCGGGTGGGAGCGGGCCG